TGATATCATTTATTTTATTAACATCTTTTTTTTGCGTGAATTCTTTTTGTATTACAACAATTCATTTAAGTTGGCATTTATCATCAAAAAAAAAGAATTAGTAAATAGAATTATAACTTTTCTTTAACAAGGGAAGTATATACAACTTAAATAATGTATATAATATAAAAGTTAGCTGTGAAATAAATTTAATAATCATATATGTGATTAATAAAATTATTAAAATTATTCAAATTCTAAAATAATTTATTTTTAAAGCATGAACATGGAATAAAATGTCAAATGTTACATAATTTTAAAAACGAAGAAAATATGGTTTAACCACTAACTCTCGTTTAGTAAACTTATTTTTAAAAATTTTATGCGAATCTGATCTGAAAACAAATTCTATACTTCGGTTCATGTAATTAATAATCTTACCAAAGGAGTTAGAAATATGATTTTGAATTTATTACGAACAAGTTGTCTCATTTAATAAATAACAAAAAAAAAGGGGGGGGAATAGAAACTCTGTTAACTTATTATGACCTTTACAATGATGCAAAACTAATTTAACAACTTTGGGATGATATATAATTTTTAATTTAGAACCATCCGAGTGATATTAAATAAGTTTTATTAGGATTTACTTTTTCCGGGAAAATACGCAGGTAAATTACCTATGTAAATATCTAAGTGATTATTTTGTTGGAAAAAAAAATTATAACTAATACATTACAAAACTTAAACCTTCGACCTTTTTAAATCACGATCGCGAGCACGATCGCGATCTCTATCACGCTCTCTATCTCGCTCTCTATCGCGTTCTCTATCTCGCTCTCTATCACGTTCTCTATCTCGCTCTCGATCGTGATCTCTATCACGTTCTCGATCGCGATCTCGACTACTTCGTCTGCTATGTTTAGAACTTGAGGATGATGAGTGTGTCTTAGAAGACGACGCTAATACATCTGGAGCAGGAACATCCCATTTACTGACACGCTTTCGACCTATTAATATACATGCGAAATCGAAATTAACAAAAAAAAAAGTAACCATTTTATTAAAATAAACTCTTATCTACGTACCAGATGAACTAGTTGATATTCTTGTGGATGATGATGATGTGGTGGTTGTGCTTGTGATTGTGCTTGATGTTGGTTTTATTGAGGCGTGAATGTTACTAGAACCTCTTTCAGCTCTAGCAGCCAAACTTTGCATAACATGACGAGCCTTTGAAATACTTTGAGTACTTGATGATGATCCAACAAATTGTATTTGACTCCGTTGTTGTTGTTGTTGTTGTTGTTGCGCTAATGCACGTTCCTCCACGACTTTCCTTTGAACTTCCGCTTTGATACAAAAATACATAATATCATATTCTGGTCTATATCAAAAAATAAAAATGAAGACAATATAATGTGCATGAATTTACCGAGTTGATCCGCAAAGGCTGCCGGTGGAAATCCATAAGGATCATAAACTTCTCGATCAAAATTCGACCCGATTTCATCCAACTCCACAAATTCTACCAACTTATTATATATGTGTGGATTACGAAATGCTTTATTTTTCAAAAGATTTTCATTAAAATGTACGCCTTTCTCTCTTAATTGGTAGAAATGTATAATCTTTTCCTATTAAAGAATCTTAATATAAATTCACCATAAAATAATTCTTTGTAGAGAGGGATATTTATTCATTAATTATCATACCTGAAGATTTTGACAACATTCTACTTCAGGTTCTTGCGGAATTCCCCAATTGTCTTTCCCTTCAATTTGTTGAGGGGTTAACAATTGACGCATGAGGATCTTCCTGTTAACATACTCCGATTCATCAAACGGTGTATCAACCTCCATTGAAGTTGCAGTAATATTATCTTCGGTATCATGTTTTGACCGTTCATCAGATTCTGAAACCTCTTGGTGTGGTGATGGTATATTAATAACTGGTGATGAAATAACTGCTTTCGGTGATGTAGATAAACTATCACGTTGTTTATGTGGCGTTGTGTTATTATTTTTCCGACGGACTAAATTGGAGAAAACTGAAGGAGATGGAGCCAGTGTTCTTTGAGAAAGCAGTATCGTAGGCGAAGGCGGCTTATTTGATGCATCTTTTAATCGTTTACCGCCTAAAATTGATAAAAGTAAATTTAGTCTGAAAATTCGAAATATCTGGCATTATTCGGAGGCTAATTATATTATAGTTGAATGTACAAGTATTTGCCGATAAAAACAAAAACACACCCGATTAAAATCATTTCAGGATCTAAACGGTATGTCCTTTCAATTACCTGTATCATTATGTACTATGGCTTGAGAATTATATGCACTCTGTTAGGAATCCAAATTGTAGTTTTTTTGTCAACTAACAAACTTTGTCCAAACAAATTAAAAACAAAAACCTTTCAAGAAACCATACTACGTTTTTAAGCCCATTATTAGCTTCGCCCGCTACTCCTTCCTCGTCTCCTTCCTGATAACCAATCAGACTAGATAACCCTGGAACTATTTTGAAACGAGATCAATAAACTGCTTTTTGCAGAAATTCGTGATACTATTGCTTTTAAAAGTCTCTTTACCTGAACTAGCTTTAGTAGGTTTTGTTGTATTACCAGTTTGTTCTTCGTCTTCGTCGTCATCGTAATAATTAAGACCTAATAGACTACTCATGAGTGAAAATTTATTGTTTTCGGTAACGAAAATTGGTTAAATTTGTATTTTTATATATTTGTTTATTTTGTGGCTTGTTATATGTTGTACAATTAATAATTAAAGTTGCTAATTTTAAAAAAGTATAAAAAGTGCACAAAAAAAAGTTGGAAACCCAAAATTTTGTTATTTATTTATATACATATATTTTTTTTCGATGGCTTTCGAAAGAATTTCTTTTACACAATTTTTTACAATAACGATAATAATATGTATGATCATTTCTCAACTTTCTATGGCTCAAAATGACACTGAAGCTATTGTAGACAGCTTTTTTAGTCGAGGAGGACATACTAATAATTGGGCAGTTTTGGTAGGTATTACAGTTTACGCTTATTTTAATTTTATTTGCTGAAATTTGAAATCTTTTTTTCTTCTTAACAGGTGTGCACTTCCCGATTTTGGTTTAATTATCGTCATATTGCGAATACATTATCAATATATCGTACGGTAAAGCGGTTAGGTATTCCGGACTCTAATATTATTTTAATGCTTGCCGATGATGTAGCATGTAATCCGCGAAATGCATTTCCCGCTACAGTATTCAATAACGCCGGAAGGTATTTGGATTTGTATGGAGATAACGTAGAAGTGGATTATAGGGGCTATGAGGTGACTGTGGAAAATTTTATTCGAGTCTTAACGGGTAAGACTTTTAACACTTTGATAAAAACAATAATAATTAATTATTTTTTAAAAACTTTAATAAAATGAATTTTTTTAGGCCGTGTCGCTCCAGATACACCTCGATCTAAACGTTTACTATCTGATGATCGGTCAAATATTTTAGTATATATGACCGGTCATGGCGGCAATGAATTCTTGAAATTTCAAGATGCCGAAGAAATTAGTAGTTTTGATCTGGCAGATGCATTCGAACAAATGTGGGAAAAGAGAAGGTAAAAAGAAAATTTAAGTTTTATTTTTTTTTTATTTACTATATTTCTTTTCTAAAAACCGATTCTTTAATCTAGGTATCATGAAGTTTTATTTATGATCGATACATGTCAGGCGAATACAATGTATAGTCAGATATATTCTCCTAATATATTAGCTACCGGTAGTAGTAATCTTGGAGAAAATTCTTATTCGGTATGTCTCTTTATCGAAAAAAAATTTTTAATTTAAGAAATTCTTTAATTAAAAATTTTAATCTTTATAGCATCATATGGACACAGACATTGGTGTTGCAGTAATTGATCGATTTACTTATTATAATTTAGAATTCTTGGAAAAAGTAGATATGCAAAGCAAGGCGACTTTGCAAGATTTGTTTAAATCATATAATCCAACTTTAATACATTCGACTCCCGGAGTTCGGAGTGATCTGTTTCGCAGACCGTTAGACAAGGTTTAATATGATTAGTGTTCATTATTGTTTTTACTTTCTTTTTGCTAACCTGATCAATTATGTCTTAGGTTCTCGTAACAGATTTTTTTGGAAGCGTTCAGAATGTAGAACTTACGGGACAACAATATAACATATCAGATTTGGATGTTGATAATAACACCAGCATATTAAGCAAATCAAGTCTCAACAAGGTAATTAATTGTGTACGCTTTAATTCAAAGTTTATTTTTTTGATTTTTAGATTAATAATGTACTAATTATTTTTAATTAAAGGAATTTCCGTGTGTACTCGAGAGATCAGATTCTAAAAATTTTCACCTTTTTAATGTCAATTCGAAACAGTCACCATCTTCGCTACCACGATTTTTAATTGCAAGTGCCATATTTGGAATTTTGATGAGATTGGTTTCTAAAATAATATGATTATGCTATAAATTGGGGATTTTGTTTACTTTTGTAAAAAAATATCATTTGTTATCATTGCGCCTTTGTGTTGTGTTGTTGGATTTCATTTTAAAAATTTAGTCAAAATTTTATGCGATGAAATTTGCCTAATTGCCTAATTAAAATTTGTGCATAAGGAAATTAATTACACTTTACCTTAAATAGAAAAACCCCGAAATTTTGATTTTTAATTTTTTCTTATTCAAGTAAAAAGAATGCTTTCATCATTATTACGAAATATCATTATCATTAAAATCTCTTTTTCTTTTTTTCTTTTTTGGAAATAATTTGATAAGAAAGAGTAAAGGAAATCTTATCTCAATAATCATTTGTGAATTATTTATCTTTATCTCTTTATCTTTATCGATTAATCTAATGATGCAATGTTTCGTATCACGCTAACTTGAATGGTAATAGCTGCTGCTTATCAAAAGATTTAAAAAAATTTATATATATTTCATCACAATGCAACCTCGTAAATTTATTTTTTAAAAAAACGTATTCTAATCATGGTCTCTTCAGCGGATACAATTTCGAGTAAAAATGTTCCCAATGGAACGGCTAAACACAAACGTATAATCAACGTTACTCACATGATACCATACACACCAGTGCTCGAAAACTCCGCACAAATCTCGCAAAATCCTTCCAATTCACATCATTGGGTCTTGAAGCCGCGTCGAGGTCACTCTGCTCTTTACTCTGGTTTAAATTCTTTAAGTTCTACTTGGAATAATCATTATGTGGGTTACATTGGAACAATACTCGACTCTGAAGAAAAAGCAATTGAGTTTAGCGATTTTTCAGAAGAATTTAAACATACAATACAAGCACGTTTAAAAAAAGAAAATATTTATCCGGTATTCCTTGAAAACGCCGAACATCATGGTCACTATGATGGGTATTGTAAATATGGTATGCAACAAATAAGAAATTGTGCACGAAAAGGAACATCCTTCTATTTGCATATTTGATTAGCCTTATTAGCACGTTTTTTACGTGATCTTTTTATAATTCGCGTGACTTATATTTTCTTTTCTTTTTTAATAACATCTCGTTACAATTTGTTATTTCATCAATAGTATTATGGCCATTGTTCCATTACATTTTATGGGATACCGCTACCGATGGTCGCGTAGAAAAAACGAGTTGGGATCAATACGTTAAAGTTAATAAAAGATTCACAGATAAAATTGTGGAGATTTATAAGCCGGGAGATCTAGGTTAGTTGAAATTTTTTATAAAGTCCATCAAAGTTTCAATTAACTAAATTTAATAAAATATAGTATGGATCCACGATTATCACCTTTTGTTGGTTCCTGAAATGTTACGAGAAATACTCCCCGATGCTGCAATTGGTTTATTTATTCATGCCCCATTCCCTTCTTCGGAAATTTTCCGGTGTTTGCCTA